TTTTTATGGAATAAATTTATATACCCTAAGATTTTTTTTAACTTGAATAAGAATTTTACTCATATGATGAACTAAGAAATAGTTGGACTGTATTCTTTTTCTAAATAAATAATTAAAAAATTTAATTATTTGGTTTTAACATAAAAAATAATTTAATTCTATGTTGATTCAGATCTTAATATTAGTTCATCTCTTGTTTTGAATATTTAATTTTAATTATAATTTTATCCACCATAAAATTTAATTTTAAAGAGTAAAAGATTGATATGACATTTCACTTTTAGATCTTTATGTTGGTATAATCATTAGTGGTATTGGCTCTTACCAACCACTTTTTTCCCTTTTCTCACACATTTATATTCTTAAATATTTTCTTAGTTATTGTTTAATGATAGTACACGGAAAAATTATTAAGAAAATATTATTTGAGTAGAAAAATAGTTCAAATATAAAATAAAAATATATTATCATGGGTTTTTTTTTCTTTTCTCAATTTCAACTCTTTATGCAGTCCATTTAATATTACTTTTATTTTTTTTTCGTATTGGACATTATGTAGTGGTGATGTATTGCTAATACAAAGGATTCTTATGAAATTGATTTTATTAAACCTTCCTACATATTTTTAATGAGAATTTAATAGACAAAATTTTATTAATTTAAAATCTTAAATATTAAAAATTAGCATAGAAGGTATTGTAGTCCAAAAAATGGGTTATAGCAGTTATGTCCTTTCCCTATGAGTTCTTTTGTTTAATATTTTAGGGCTATTTTGATATATTTAATATTGTGTTTATGATTCTATAATAATATAGGCTCTCATTTTTCTAAATGGATTTGGACAACATAATACATTATCAAATTAAATTAGTAATAGGACATTATAATACGTTTTCAAATTAAATTAGTAATAGAATTTCTTAAGAAGTATATCCGAAATATAATAGGATTACATGACTAAAGATATTTACTTGTTCAATTTTATATGAGTTAGACAGCCCGTGAATAATTATACTAATAGGATTACTAAAGGTAATCATGTAGGATTCCTAACGCGTAGTATTATATCCTAAAACTAANATTATATCCTAAACCTAATAGGATTATAAGGCTAATATCTAGAATTCCTGTTATGTCCTTTTATTATGAGTTATTTATGCTTAATATTATAAGGTTATTTTTGTAAACCGACATTGTATTCATGCTTTTATAATAATATAGATGATCTCTCTTCATTGAATATTTACTCTACTTATGTGTCATCTCCATCTTCAAGAATAATTACTACTAGGGGTAAAATGAAGAAAAAAACTCCCTCCGGCTCAAATTATTAGTCGTGATTTCTAAATATAGTTGTCTCAAATTATTTGTCATTTTAGAAGTTTAAGACATAATCAATTTTTTTCCTTAGTAGTAATTGTTCTTGAAGATGGAGATGATACATAAATAGAATAAATATTCAATAATGAGAGATCATATCTTAAGACATAAATAAGGGTAAATAGTCAAAAATACCTTTTAATTAAGGTTTTCTTAATGGGCATGTAAGAGAGAAACACAACACATAATTTGAAACGTGGGAATAATTGATTATGTCTTGAACTTTTAAAATAATAAATAATTTAAGACAATCAATTTTAAAAATTAGGACTAATAATTTGAGATAGATGAAATAATTGAAACGAGAATGAATCCTTCCTAAAATAACCAAGGCGAATAAAAGGTTTAATGAAGTGTAAAGTGATTACAATAAGCATATTAATGGTTTAATCATTGTAAGACAAAAGAACCCTACCCCCCAACTCAAGCTAGATCAATATCCTACATTTACTTTCGCAAAAGCCAAGGAATAAAGAAACGAATCAAAACAAAGCGTGTCCCGAATTACTCCCATCACTATATTTTTCTCCAATCTTTTCTTATTTTTGCATCGGAAAACTCTTCTTCGGCACTTTTATTTTTGTTGGTGGATTCATATCTACTTTTCCACATTTCACATTATGATTATTTTCTCCTTTTTATTCCACCAATGCTTAAAACAATATGACCACCTTCACTTTTATGCCACTGAAGATTAAATCACAACATTATACGGCGATAATTAAAGGCCATTTCACATATCCTCCTCGATTTCAGCAACTTGTTCTACTCCATTAGCAAGAAAATAATCATTCTCTTATTTTCAATCCAAATCCCAATTAGATTTCAATTTGCTTTTCCCCAATAAGTTATTCTCCAAATCATTGTTTCCTCCGCACTATAATTTTGGGTATATATTTTAAGTTCGGACAGTAAGTTTTTATTTTTTCCCTATCAGATTGAGTTGATTTACAACATGTAACTCTACAGATTAAGCCTAGTATGATTTTGTGAAAAATACAACAATATTATGAAAAAAAATTACATCATGAAAATATATAACTTAAAATCTATTTTTTTCCAAGTTTGAAAAGTCAAAAGTTTTAAGGAACATGATCTACCGTGTGTTTAACCTTTCAGAAAAGGTGACAATGATCCTACAATTGTATGCTGAGAACAGTACTGTTGGAAAGTCGAAGATTGATGTACATTCAACATCGAATATGTGCAATATCTCCAGACATCAAAATAGTGAGATGTGAAAAAATGTGGGATGGAATGAGTACTTGTGACAACAAATCATAATAACTCATACTCTTTACTCTTCTTTTTGCTCAGTTTTTGTAATGTTCAGAGTACATTTGTTAAGTTGATTCAATTAGTTGAATCAAACAAGAAGAATATATATGTGTATCACTTATTCAGTCAACTGTTGTGCATGGTTATTTTACGTAGGGGCGGATGTACAGTATAAGGTATGAGTTCAATTGATGAATTCAGTAACTTTGACTCATATCTTATATATGTGTTAAGAAGTACACTATACATGTTTACACATATTAAATTTTGAATGTAGTAACCCAAACGGTCAATAGGGTTAACGGCATTCCAAATTTATAAAGTTCAAATCCTGAATCCGTCTATGAATTTTCAAGATGTTTGGAAATTAAAGAATCCAAATCATTAAAAGTTTATAGTCTCATGATTAATATGCTAATCAACTAAGCATTATTGTAAAAGTACCATAACAGATCTTGACAAATTCAGGCACGTAAATTCTGTACTGACTAAACTGACATAACAGTCTCTGCTGCATTATAGACATAATACAGTGTAGTAAGACAATAAAGTGAAAGGAGCTGAGCCATGTTGGAATAAGAGACTTTCATGGGGTCTTGTGAAATTCAACAGGTTAGTGAAGTATTCAAAGGAAGGAAAGCCAAAATCTTACTTTCTCTCCTAACAAAGCAAACAAAATTAAAATACCCTTCCTTCCTGCAGTAAAGGACATCAAGAATATCTTTAGTTGTCTGTCTTTATTAAAGAAAAAGCACCACTTTTTTGAATTCAAAAACCCCCTCAAACCAAACCAAGAATATATCTAACCTAATGGTGTACAATAAACCCCACATGTATGATTCTTGATAATTTCTTATTATTTCATTGCTTCTCCTAAGTCTTTACTTGTTTCACTCGAAACACCTTAGAGATATTAGCCTAGAACCCTATCACACCATAATCAAGAATCATGCTTTATATAATGAAATATTCCCACATGTATTGTCTTAGCTAATGTTTGTTCTCCCATTACTTCACAAAGACATTCCTTTGGTTTCACTCAAAGAACACAACCTTAGATTTTAGTCTCAAAATAATTTCATACCACTAGTCAAACTACTGAACTCAATCACTTGCTCTTGTTACTCTTCAGTTTCTGTTGACGTTTGTTCTGCTTACCTTAACTTGTGTCAGCCAAAATTCCAAGAAAATGTCTCAGTTGGAACCACAACAACCAGTTCAAGTTTACCCTAATAATCCAAACAATTTCCCAAATCAGGCAAACAATATCCCAACTCAATCTTCTTCTTCTTCTTCTTCTTCTTCTTCTTCTTCTTCTTCTCAGTCAAATGGTTCATTTGTCAGTGTTTTCGTTGTCCTGGCTATAGTTTTGGTCGTATCTCTCATTGCTTGTGTCGTTGGACGTCTCTGCAGCAAGAAAAGCCATGGTCCTAAGGTGAAGAAAAGCAATGGTCACCCACAAAAACAAAAAGAGGGTAAGCAAAAGCATAATGAGTTTCATCAAAGAGGTCAAGGGGATATAGAATTTGGATTTGATAAGAGAATTGCAAGTTCTAAAGTTGCTGCAGCACATGGAGATCATTATAAGGGGTCTAAACCTTTTAAGAATATTGGAGGTAAAGGAGGAGTTAGATTTGCTGATGATCATATTGATTTCAGGCCTGGTCATTGAAAATTAGTAGAAAAAATGTTCATAGAAAAACTCCCTCTATGCACCAATCACTTAGTAGCTTATAAAATTTTCTATTACATGGAAGGGTAAGGTAAAGGGACATGTGTGTTCTGTTGGTGTTTTTCTTTTTGGTTAATTGTAGCTTTTGTTTTATATTTATGCCTATGCAACAAGTTTGTTGTGCTTGGGATTGTCAAAAGTGTAGTATTTTCAGTTTTTCATCAATTGGAAAATATGGTTAATGGGGGTCAAGAAAAGCCAGATTTGTTGCTTTTCCTTCATTTCGTTTGTGAATTGTGATTGCCTGCCTACATTCGCACTCACCTAGGTGGTCACTTGCATCTGGAACGAAATTAAAATCAATAAAATAAGAGAAATATAGTTTTGGGTAATTACAAGTAGCGCTGTAATGGGTCCAAAATTATTTATTATCAATTGCTTGTGTAAATTGTTACCCGCAAACTTAAAATGAGGATTTTCGAATTAATTTCATGTATAATTGTTGAACTTTATTTTCTACCATATAATAGTAAAGTCACGAAATTATTTTGTTTCATATTAAACTAACTGAACTTTTCCCCATAAGAGTAAGTCACACAACAAACATAAACGTCAATGGAAATGCTCGGGGAATTTTTGCCAATATCTAATATGATCAATCTCATTAAAAAAAAAAGAAACTGGATTAAGAAGAAAAATAACAGAAGAGAAAAAAAATAGGATTTAAAAGAAAAATACTTTCTATTAGGGTGAGTAGTTGGGCAATTCGAATTGGATATGAGAATTTCGTTTTGGATTTTTGATTTTCGGATTGAATAAATGACTATCCAAATCCAAACCAAATAAGCTCGGATTGGATCGGGTTTTTAAGTTCGATTTCAGATTAATCGGTTTGGATATTTTGGATTTTCGATTTTGAACCTATATGTTGAGATGTTTCTTCTCTTAACAAAAAAGAACATCTAGATGAAATATTCATGTTAAATTGCCTAGAAAGTTCCTTAATCTCATTGCAATCATCCAAATAAAGTATTCAAGTAACAAAATTATCATCAAGAAAATGCAACAGAGATATTAATAAGGCCGATATGAATTAGCACTAAAAAAATCATGTCCAAATTGAAAGTATTCTAACAATAACTTAGTAATTGTTATTGAATATATGACATAATGTCTAATGACTAGGATAATGGACATATCACTATTTCCTTATGGATAATGAACTAAATAGGATTTTCGGATATCCAAAACTCCGAAGTACCAAATCCAACATCCAATTCAAAATCCAAAATTTTTAGAAATTTAATTCAAAATTCAATCTGTAATCCGAAAATCCAAATCAAAAATACATAAAATTCGAATTACGGGTTCCCCCAAACTGTGACCACCCCTACTTTCTATATTCCATTTTATGTCGCACTATTTTCTTTTTATTCTGTTTTTCAAAAGAAATATTACATCTCTATATTTGAAAATAATAACTTTAAACTTTATAATATATGTTGAATGACAAAATTTTGTACTCACAAAATTATCATATTATATTTAAGACTATAAGTAGAAGCGTTTCTTTATTTTTTAAAATTTCATGTCCAATCAAACATCGCCACATATTTAAAAGAAATAGGAATAGTGCATCACTGGAAAAAAAAACAGCTGGAATTTAAGGAATGTATGATGGGGAAGAAAAAAAAAAGGCGGGAATTAAAAGAATTATTAAGAGGAAAATTTAAAGCTGGGCAAAAGGGGAAAATCGAAAGCATCGGAAAACGCACCAGTGTCACCGGAGATCATAGCTTCCGGCGATTTCAGCGTCTATGCCGGTTCAAGTTGTGTGAGAAATCAATCGGCGGAGAAACGAACCGAGAGAGTCACGGGAACCCTAGACCGAATCAGTAAGTTACCGGATACACTCTTCGTTCAAATTCTCTCTCTTTTGCCGACGAAGGATGCTTTCATAACTCGTCTCGTCTCAAAATCGTTGCGTTATCTCTGGACTTCAGTTGATTGCTTATTTTTCTGTTTCCCATATGATTTGAACCTTAGAAACTTCATATCCTTTGTGGACTATGCATTTATCGCACTTTTTCAAAAATTAAAATAATTTATCTCGATGTTGACTTGCGTAGCTATGATTTCAAAATCAGCCGATGGCTTATTATTGCTGTGGATAACAAAGTGGAAGATGTTACATTGTATTCAAGTAGTGATGGCATTTACAAATTGCTTCAATGCATTATGCATATGCACTTGCTCGTCATTGATAAATTTGAATTTGGAGCATTGTGCATTAGGTAGAGCACTTGCTTGTTATTGCGTGGAAGGCTCTGAGAACTTTGACACTTTTCTCAGTAGGGTTAGATGATGAAACTGTTGCGAACTTACTGGCAGGTTTTCCTGCTTTGGGATTCGGAATTGCTTTCTTTAATGGTTTTCCGTAAGCTGAAAATTAGATCTTCGAATTTAAAGAAGCTAAAGCTGTAGAACTCTTTGCTATTGGATAAGGGAGGTGATCATTAATGGGGAATTTTTGCGTTGTATCTTCAGCATTTGGAGATTTCAGGATATCTTTGATGATCTCAAGTGTTGGCTAGTAAATGTATCCTCCATGGTCAACACTACGGTTACCTTTGCTATTAATTGTGTGGCGGACTCCTGGGTTGGTGTTGCTGAAGAAGGGAGTTGTCATGATTATGGTCAAGTTCAGGGTCCAAGGTTATCTTCAAAACTTGAATCATGCAACAGAGCTAACAATTGAAGCTATGTTCGCAGAGGTTTGTTTTTTGAGTAAAAATGCCTCATTTGCATTTATTTTTAGCGAATAGTTGCAGGATATGTACCTCAGTAAGAGAAGAGCCCTTATATCTAATGAGAAACTTTCTGCAACTGTAAATATCTATGAAAATTTTGTTGTTGCTAAAGTCTTTAGACAATTACATTTGTCATAGCAATATATTAGTGATGTGAATTACTTTCATTTTCTTGTTTTTTCTTTCTTTAATCTTTACTAGTTTCATTGTGATTATTGCACTAGGTCATGTTCCTGTTGCAGCTCAAAGGAGTGGCGCTTCCATAATTGAAATGCAAATGTTTAATGCTAGAGCTGCATATAACATAGGATAATTTGTATGGTGTAGAAGCCTTTTGCAGACCTCTCCTCATGTGTAGACAATCAACATATAGGTGGAATCTATGAAAGTGACTTCCTATAACTTTTGCTCCTGTTGCACTCATTTATTTTTGATGTTTTACGTGCCCCCCGTAGCTCCTCCCTTGACTGAAAATCGTTCTGAATCACCACACTTCAACCATAAAATTGTCATGTTTTCACTTTTAAATGCGAGTTCCATTAGGCTTTGGACCTTTATTTGATCCAGATTATATTCTCTATCTCCAGTTTTATTGTTCCTGCCGCTGCCCCTTTGTGCCAGGGTATTTGGGCCCAGGAGATCTTATCAGTTTGGAGAGTTGGATTTCAAACTATGCATTTCCCAATCTCAAGAAAGTTAATGTTGTCTTCTCAACAGGGATATGTTGAAGCACTATGATAGGGTTTCCGAATTTTTAGAATTTTTGCTAAAGAATGCAATTGTCTTGGAGAAGTTTGTTATCATATCAAGGAGAAGGAAATGCTGGTTGGGTAAAGAGAACTGTATGTCCATATATTCACGAGGATTGGCTAAGAAATTGTCAGATTGTCCAAGATCCCTTACCATTATTATGCCTAGCTTCCACGAGTCAGTTGACCATGACTAGACTGCAAATTCTTGTTCTTGGCGCACCAGAAATGCCGCCTTATATGTTATTTTTTGAATGAATCTTTAACTTGTCTATTTAAGTAATAACAGTTTTTTTGTGAACTTAGTGTTATGTCATACCAAATGTCATGGATCTTGGGTTCTCATGTAGAGTTGCTTGTTGCACCCTAGGCATTGCATATGCATGGAATTTTCTGTCAACTCTTATTTTCCTGGACCTGTCAATATGAGCAGATCTACAAGCCACATCTTTCTTTTTTTTTTTTTTTGATTTGCACCGGGTGTCCGAGTCTCTAAGAGCCCCGACTAATCCCGGGGGTGCACAGGCCCTCGGCAAGGAGTTTCCCGCAAGTGCACCACGGTTAATTCAGGTTTTACCCAGTCCGATGGCCCTCAGAAATTGTTTGCACCCAGTGGGTTTCGAACTTGAGACCTTGAAAGGGAGCAAACCCCAAGGCTCAAGTCTATTGCCACCAGGCCAACCCCTGGGGGTTACAAGCCACATCTTTCTGATTATTAGGTTCCTGAAATGTTGTATATTCCTACCTTTGTCAAATAGCTTTATGTTCTTAAATTGGGACACGGTTCCTTTTTTTGGCTTTTTCATGGAAGAGGAAGAGGTACATACTGTTTGTTCACCTCAAATAATTCTTTCGCATTGTGATTTATAATGCTGTTGACTGCTTTTACTTGAGATTCGTGTTATAAACGAGTATTTGATTAGATCTATCTATTTAATTTCCTTAAAATCTTCATTTATGAGACAGATTTGAGATGGCCAGAGCAGCATTGAGGGGGGTTTTTTTTTTGGGGGGGGGGGGGGGAGGGGAGGGGAGGTTTGTTAAGTATTCTGTGTCATGGAACCTATCAGGCCTTAGGGCCAAGAAAGGGCTGAGTAATTGTCCTCCTTGGCCATGCCTGAGTTCTCATATCAAGTCCTTTGGCTTGAGCCTAGACGCTTGTCAATTGGACTCTCCTAATGGAGAGTAGAGTATATTATTCGAGTGGGATAAGGAATCCTTTGTTATTGTCTCCTATGATTATTAGTGAATACTGTAAAACAGGTAACAAATTGTCTTGCAATTGAGTATAATAATTCAGTACCAGCATTGCGTCTTCTAGCAGATTACCAAATTCCATTGCTCCACCAGTTGAATCGAAAGGTCTTACCTATCTGTCCCTCTTTTTCCAAGTGGTATCAATTTTTACAGGCTTAATTTTTACTGTTGTTACTAATTAGTGAGCATAATTCTGACCGCACCCGCAACCATATGCCTCGGCTGGTCTGAGTGCCATAATATACAGATGGTCAATGAGTGACATAGCCTAATAAGCTTCATGGACCTGTCTCTGGATCAAATTTCGTATAGCTATGAGATTCTTCTTCCCTCTGTGGAGCTCTCTAAGCAATCTATTCCCTATATATGTAGTAGTGATGCTAATATGGTTTTGTGTTAAGAATCCCAGGAAGTATCTTGATATCAAGTCTCTTCTTCTCTTGATTTTACAGTTAACTTCTAGCTGAGAAATTAGTTCTATGTTACATCTGCCTATTATTTTTTTCTCAGTTCGCAGATAATTCTTGTTAATTTGTTCCAGGTGAAAAGTGATCGATTGGAGTCTTTTCGTCCCTTTGGAGTGTTATCGTTCTCTTGCACGTGTGGTAAGTATCTGATGGAATGTTTGAAAGGTATACAGAGAGCCTCTATTAAGATATTTGCCCAATATTTCTTTTGTTTTTTTTGGTGAATGGTGTTTACGGTGTAAGTTTTTGAATAATGATGATGACGAACTTTGACAATTTTAAACTTTTGTTGTCTTTTTGGTGAGATCGAAGTCTTGGTAGCACAAAGATATCTCGCATCAAACTGGTTCGTTGTTTAGTTACTGGTCCAGTTTAATATGAATGCTAGATGTTTTTTTTTTCTTCCCATTGATAGTAAAATAATTTTATCTTATAAAAATAAAGCTAGATGTTACAGGATCCTACATGACAATTCAATTCCAACCTTTTCTTTGTGTTTTTAGTAAGAGCATTAAGGTTTGAAAAGATTGTACTGAAACAAGTTAAAAGTTATCATTAATAAAACATAATACATGTTGTTGTATGATTATCCAGAATTCCACTTGAAATCAAATATTCACATACAAATTGAATCAACCTAAACTTTACTTAAAAGAAGAAGAAAAACCACTACAATTATTTCCAAGAATTGGACAATAGTAGAAACAAACGAAAGGGTTTCTAAGACTGCATTTTTTAATAAAACAAGAAGAAATACCATTGTATCACCAACTTGGAAAATCATTCTGCAGCTTTGATCATCTTCAATCTTAAAGCTATCAATAGGATACAGTCATCCAACTCATGAATATCATCAAGAACAAATATGCACACACAAATGAGTATGATAGTTTATTGGAATCTGTTTCTTGATCTTGCTTTTGATCCTGTTCTTGTTCTCCAAGTATAATCTTCATCATTTCTTGGTAGAATTTCCCAGTAATTAAAAGATGTATGACTTGAAAAAATATAGAAGGAAGAAAAAACACAATTCTATCTAGCCAATAACGATGCCATGTTCTATGTGTGACATATAAAGCAGGAATTGCCCATGCTACACCAACTATACCAATCATTGTGACTTTCCTTTCTTGTATATCTTTTATTTCTTCCATTTCCTCTACTTTCATATTATCTCCAACTTTTTCCATTTTCAATTTGTGATTTTCTGAAGGTTGATAATATAATGCCCTCCTTTCCCTCTTTGAGTTTTTTTTTTTTTTTGGTTAAGTTTCTTCCTTTTTTCCCTTCTCTTTGGAGGGGGGAGGGAGTGAGGGCAGGAAGCAAGGAGGATGGTGGTCTAACTTCTTAGTTCTTACTGATAATGGAAATAAACAATAATTTGGTAAAGAAATATAGATTTTGATGTGCTAAAACAGATTTTTATGAAAGGTTAAGAGATAAGTTCTCGCATTCATTCATAGTTTAAAAGTGATGGATAAGATGCAATCCCTCAGCATCTCTAGTTTTTGTTTGTTAGAGCTTATATCTTTTTCCTTTTTCTTTGAGAATTCTGAATTCATGGAAATTTTACCGTTTATTTAACATATAAAAGAATCATATAAATTTGAAAATTATTCTTCCTTTTTTTTTTTCTTTTCAATTTTGATATTGTTCACATTAGAGTGCCTTTAAAATCATCCGATATCTGACTCCAAAATAAATCTATGATAACCGACTAAGCTAATGATTAGGCAATGCCGTGTGGAATGGAGGCCCTATCCAATCCATGTAGACCATATACGCTATAAGTGTTGGATTAAAGATTAAGCTCAAATTAATTCGGAAAAAAATTTTAGGTCATACTAAGATATTTTTTCCTTCTTAGCTTATACAAAGATCTGAATTACATATTGATTGTACATTTACATTGAGACAGAGATTCGGTTTATGGAAAGCCATAGACCATAATCAAAATTCAAAATTATGCCACGCTACTGTAAACATCTGTCTTAATTCCATATTGATAAGAAGAAGATCGACTGTGTTGTCTTGGGCTTTAACATCTCCGCTCAAACAAGATGTTAAGAGTCGTATTGATTCTTCCCGATAAGTAGGGACAAGGAATGAATGCACCTTTTATCTCCGATGAATAAAAATAAAAACAGGAACCAACGTACAGGCGCGGTTCAAGTACATGCAGGGCCTAAAACAAAAGTTTAATGAGAAAATATCACTTTTGTAACGACCCGACCGGTCGTTTTGATTCCTAGCGCTCCGTTCAGCAGTCGGAGGTCATGAACAGCTTCATTTCTGGTATTATGACTTGTGCGCGTAGTCGGAATTAAGTTCCGGGAAGTTCAGAGTTGATTTAGGAAGAGAATTCTCATTTCAGAAGCTTAAAGTTGAAAGAACGAACTAGGATTAGATCTTTGAGTAAACGACCTCGGAATCAGGATCTGAAGGTTCCAGCAGATTCGTATGATGATTTCGGACTTGGGCGTATGCCCGGTTCGGGTTTTGGATAACTCGGGAGTGTTTTGGCGCCTATTGTGGAAGTTAGCATTTTAGAAGAAATTTTATAAGTTTGGCTTGAAGTGCATTTCAGTGTTATCAATGTCCGTTTAGGATTCCGAGACTGTGAATAGCTCCGTATGGTGATTCTGGAGTTGGGAGAGCGATCGGAAGTGAATTCGGAGGTCCGTAGGTCATTTTGGAGCCGTTTGGCTAAAGATAGAAATTTGAAGGTTGTTGAGAAGTTTGACCGGAAGTGGACTTTTTGATATCGGGGTCGGAATTCGATTCCGGAAGTTGCAGTAGGTCCGTAATTTCAAATATGACTTGTGTGCAAAATTTGAGGTCAATCGGATGTGATTTGATAGGTTTAAACATCGAAAGTAGAAGTTGGAAGTTCTAAAGTTCATAAAGCTTGGATTGGGGGTTGAATCATGAATTTAGCGTTGTTTGATGTGATTTGAGGCCTCGAGCAAGTCCGTAATGTGTTTTGGGATTGGTTGGTATGACTAATTGGGGTCGCGGGGGCCCCGGGTGGATTCCGGGTGGTTAACGAATTGAAAATGGGATTTTTGGACAGCTGAAGGATCTGGTTGCTGGTATTTTCGCTTCTGCGGTGGGTTGACCGCAGAAGCGGTCCCGCTGAAGCGGAAAGGGAGCCGCAGAAGCGGATTTTGGCCAAAGGCTTGAGGACCGCAAATGCGGTCAAGGTTCCGCAGAAGCGGGACCGCATTCTGCGGGACCGCATCTGCGGAGAGGGGGTCGCAGAAGCGGAAGCTGGGGAGGCCAGGGAGGACCGCAGAAGCGGACCAGTGTCCGCAGATGCGAAAAATGCTGGGCAGAAGGCTTGTTTTAAAATCGTGATTTGGAGTTCATTTCTCTTATTTTTCAAGGCTTGGGCGATTTTGGGGAGCTTCAAAGAGGGGGATTTTCGTCATCTATGTTAAGGTAAGTTATCCCCACCTATTTTTGAGTTGAATACATTAATTATGTATGGATTTAGGCTTGGGAAATTGTAGAAAATGGAGGTTTTTGGTGGAAACCTAGAAAATTATATTCTTGGAATTTAGCCACGAATTTGAGCATGGAATTAGGAGTAAATTATATGAGCTAGTGAAGCCATGGGTAAACTTTATCTTCGAAATTTTTTGGATTCCGGGCACGTGGGCCCGAGGGCGTTTTGGTCAACTTTTTAATCGGAGTTAGGAATTGCTATAAATTAGTTTGTTATGAATATTTGAGCATATGTTAATGGATTTGTACAATCATTGGCTAGTTTTGGAGCATTGTGGTTGGTGCAAGTCTTTGGAGGAATGTAGAATGCCGGTTATGAGTCTTCGGAGCGAGGTGAGTCTCCTTTCTAACCTTGTGAGGGAGAAATGTCCCCATAGGTGAATTATTTGTCTAGGTGCTCCTATTTGTGGGGGCTACGTACGCACGAGGCGACGAGAGTCCATGCGTAGCTACTATTATGCTATTGTCCGGGTAGTCTAGGACCCAAAAGCATGAATACTTAAATTATTTGTAAACTCTTTGATAGCTTAAATTGCTTATATCACATGGAATTTGTAAATGAATTTCTAAAGGGATTTAACCTTACTTATTAAAGGTTGTTAAAAGAGAGTTGAATATATCTTGATAAACACTTCCGATAAGTTCTTACTTGATTGACTGAGCATGTATCTCTATGTGTACCTGCGTCGCATGTATGATTCGCGAGCAGGGTATGTGTTTATTTCATGTTGACCGCGTCGCATGATTAATTCGCGAGCGGGGAAATAGATGCATCTATAGGCGCGCCGTCGACCCTCGGCAAGTGCACATTTATTTTCTGTTGGATCGGGCCGTCGCCTCGGTATGACTTGCGCATGATATTTTTTGTATATTGATGCATGAGGAATGTTAAATGATGAAATTTGCCCTTCGTGGCTTGATATAAATTGATAAGATAAAGGAGAGTAAATCTTGAAAATCTTTGTTAATTGTTAAAAAGGTGTTTACCTGTTTTACAGCTTTATGAAATAGAACATGCTATATGAATCCATGATTTCCTCACACATTTAGTGTATTATTATTGGACAGCTAGTGAGTGTCCAGGTTGACCATCTCGTCTCTACCCCTTCGAGGTTAGGCGGGATACTCACTGGGTACACGTTGACTACGTACTCATACTACACTTCTGTGCATTTTTGTTGCACAGGTATATGTTACTTTAGATAGTAGCACGGATGATTCGGGGACTAGGTGAGTTGCAGTATGCGAGGCAGCCCACAGCTTGTAAAGTCCCTTCTAGTAAATTGTATTTTCTTTCTGTCCATTGTATTCCGGACGGATGTTGTATTGTATTTGATATCCTTATCAGTAGACGCTCATGCACTTGTGACACCGGGTTCTGGGATGGTTTTGAAATGTCTTGTATTGATTGCTATTATTTAATTTGAAATGAAGCAGCTACTTTTGTACTTAGGAAATTTAAAGAAAAAATCTTGGTCTTTTCAAAAATTGTTAAAATTGGAGTTTAATTAATTATTTAGTTGGCTTGCCTGACAACGGTATCCGGCGCCATCACGACCCATAGTGAATTTTGGGTCGTGACAACTTTATACCCATTAATTCCAAACTATTTACCCTTTAATGCCCAGACCCAAACTATTTACTACTCCTACCCATACTCCCCAAACTATGTACCCGCTAGTTTCACTTCCTATATATCTGCAAAACCCCCAAATAGACGAGGTGGTGGAGGAAGTAGAAAAAGTGAAAAAAGATTTTGAAGAAACATACACACAGACACAACAACACATCAATTCCATTCAGGAATATGGCAAATCGACAAGATTAATTTCAGAAGAGAAAAGTTCACTCCCAAGATTGAATATCCACCATTGTTGGGCTTGAAGCTCAATATTTGAT